TTCCTTATATGTCCTAGAGTAGTTTGATTAATCCTAGTCACAGTTTCCAAATCCAAAGCTTCAGCGCGGGCCGTGTGCATCGCATTAGCCAGCACTTATTCGAACAGAGAAGCGCTGGTTTGCGCAATAACGTTGCTAAGCGACTGGTCGGGCGCCAGATAGGTGGACGTAATGTCGTATTCTATGTATGAGCATTGAGCAGTCCATGTAGCTAACAGATTTTCCGGAGTACCAGGTTTTACTTTGCGCTTAGCAGTGCTGCTTAAAATTCCAATAACACTTTCTGGTCACATTCAGTTCGCCATTGGAAAGTATCAAAAATATCATCGGGAATTTGTTGAAGAAGCGGATTAGAATAAACTAATTTCAGACCTGATGTCATTGTTATATTTGTCCGCTAGCTGCTGCTGTAAAAACTGTTAGTGGAAAATAACCAAGGTCGACGATCCCCACATCACTTGATTAACCGGATTCGGGGTAGGACGTAGGTAATTACTTTGGATGTTTTGTTTTCCTTGCGTATAAAAAATCATTTAAAGAAATTTACCTTCAATATTCAGGAAATACGTGCCCGGGTTCCCGAACCCTGGTACTCGCCGCCTAATGGGACTATAGCGCCCTACTGGTGCTTTTAGTTAGCCCCCCCCCCACCTAATGGAGCTACGCCCCTACTGGTCTGTTTGGCTAGCATTCACCTTATTTTGCCATTTAAAAAGAAGCCCCGAGATGCCATCGCAGTTTTAGTTTTCGGGAAATGGATTTTTGTATAGCTTTACTATCACAGAAAATCATGAGAGCCACTGCCGCGCGAAGCTAACGGTCGGTTCCATTACGAATATCTTTAGAAATTCACATATTATAACTGTCCTGATGTTTTGCAAAATTCGAAAATTCGCTAAGATTTTCAAGCAGGATTCTCCTCTTTTCTTTTTGATATACCCACTTTTGAAGGAACTTCGGTGGGGGTCACGTGCTCTCCTTAAATATGTAATTGGGTAAGTTTGTAACGGACACTGCAGGCAGTGGTTCTCCATTTCGTTGTCAGGGAGGTCTTCAAGATGGGAAAGGGCATCGACTGACAAAAATACGGCAGTCTACAGTACTGAGACGCGCGGGTGATACAGTGGCAAATGGGAGTGAAGCAGAGGCAAAGATAACGCGCGACAGCTAATAGTGTACGAAACTACCGAAAGGTAATTTACCGACGAATTCAAATGACATCGCAAAATAGCACAAATATTTTAAAACACATTTTAAGAAATTCTGTGATAGACCAGTTTCCGAGAAGTGTTGCGTGACGCACAGTTGTATCGCACTTAGCGCAACCCATGAATTCCTATTTTTCAGTGTTCCATTACCCAGCACATTTCGAATCCGGCTTGCTCAACGTGGTCCGACCAGGAAGCCATGAATGAAGAAAAAATGCGGCAGATTCGCGAACTACATCACAACGGTTTCACACTGCAACAAATTGCAGCACGAGTGGGGATCAGTTATTATTCACTGACACAAGTTCGCAGAAAAGAGAAGTTAACACGAAGACTTGCGTCCCGGACCGACGAGGAAATTTTAAGGCTAGCGCACAAAGAGAAATATGTACAAACCCGAACAAATAGCCAAGACACTCAATCTTGGCCGAAGTACTGTGTTCCGACTTCCGAGTCCTGCAAACGGCCGACATAACGGAAGAACAGAGAACAACCATTCTGCAATTGTTCCACCGCGGCTTTTCCAAAACGGATATCATGCGCGAGGTGAATGTCGAAGGTGGCGCTGTAGTTGCTGTAATTAGTTGCGCCGGATATAGTTTCGCCGCGCGGGATGCGATTGCTGTCGGCCAGGAGCAGACAGAAGAAATGCTGAAATATTTTGAAAAAGGGCACACTAAGCAGTACATCCAGGAGAAGTTCGGAATCTCTAAAAAGGTTTTGCAAATGTTTTTGCTGCAGAATGGAAAATTATGTCGGGAACGCGACCGACAAATTTCCCAGTGGAAGCGACCGAGCGTTATGAAACTTTGTGCAAAGGGATTGACATGGAATGCCGTAGCAAAACAGCTTAAAATTAGTATAGGGACTGTAGCGCGCATTCTGAGCAATCGTGGCCATGAACGGACCGTGTCGGATGAGCGTCCACACAGCAGCGAGTCTCCCGGACCGAATACGAATAATCGCGAGGAATAAGTCGTCCAGACACCGCAAGTTAACGAGGAGGGTAGTACCGGAAAATTACAAATGGATACCGATGGTCGTGGCTTGTCTTAAAGTGCCGTAAGTCAGCGCGTTTAATGGCGGCCAGACATCGCCCTTCCGGCTCCAAACGAGGACAAGAAGATTGTTCCGGTTATGGACGTACTTCATTTGATTCCCACGATGGTATAGGCACAAATAATATGCAGTCGGGCGAACACGAAGGCGAAAGTAAAGTCACTGACCGGAATTCTGGGAAAAGGCATGGTACGTGGTAAAAGTTACGTGTAATCGTTCTAAACTACCGGTCGTCTAAGATGACCGCCGGGCGAAATTTTCACCGTTAAATTGCCTACCCAGTTTTTTTTAGCGTTTTCGATCGTAAAGGACGCCCATAAAGGATGCCCTATTATTTCTCAACAGAAAACTGAGAAAAGCATAAAGCACAAACGGCATTTCACACCGATAACTACGGATACACAAAGATAGTTCACGGTTATTCGTATACTGTACTGACACCCTGCACTCGGAGAAAGTTTTAGCTGTGCAGCCACGCGTACGTTGTACGACTGCGTTCACTGCTCACTTATGTACACGGCTTGTAACTGCATGCAGACTGCTGGCTATTGGCTGAACGCAATCGGCTTTAAATCCACCTGTCTACAGTACCGTGCTGCTCATACTGTACAAAATTTCTCCAAGTGCAGGGTGTCAGTACAGTAATGAAACCGTACTGGTAAATGGTAATTAATTCGCAGACACGTATATGTACTGTATGCAATTTTTTCTTGGTATACTTCCAAGAATGACATACACCAAGAATCTGAATTAATAATTTTGCTTTCCCGATTTATTAACAATTTCTATTGTCCGGAAGGCGCATAAGTGGTTTAGTGGTTAATGTAGCGTTCATGCTCTACGTCTCCTGTGCAAAGCGTAGCAGCGCGCGGGGGGATACTGGAGAAGCTGCTGACCGGAAGCGCGAGCACGGTTCGTAAACGCGAGTGCGTTGGCCACCTCTGATCGCTCCAGCCGCACAGGCAACCCCATTATTTTGGTTGTGTACAAACAAAATAACTGGACAGAAAACAACAGGTGCGTGGCGGGCGGGAGAACAAAATCAGCGACGTTCTGAACAAGAACTGAGCTAACGTAAAATGAACTCGTGAGGCGAGCATGCGAACAGTGCCACAAGACAGCTCGAACCGAGCGTGTGCAAAACGCTACAACAAAGTACGCAGCCGCCGCTGAGCCGTCAAAGCGTCCGAATGGCGTCCGGTCTGGATGGGGGGCAGGCGGCGAAGGCTAGCAGGCACCGCCAACGTAGCACTAACCTCAATTAACGCGTTAATTGGCAGTTTTTAACAAGATTTGTGCGAAGGCAAACGATTGTCTGCGCGATGCACAGTACAATGCAACGGAAATCGAATTCGTCATTATCCGAGTGTTAACTGGTGCGAGGCGCTCACAGCCCAGCGTTCAAAAACGTTTGTGAAATTGTTAATGCTTATTTTATTCGCTAGTTAATCGATTCCATAACTTTGATATGATATTGGGTAATAATAATTTTTGCTTTCTTAGTTAAATGGTCTGATGAAATCACTGCTAACGGTTCGTGGGGCAGAAAATTAATATTAAGTGCAAGCTCTATATTACGCGCGGCGCCCCATAGTTTTCAGATCTCACTAATCAAAACGATTTTTGTAAAAACTGGCAACGCCAATAGATCGGCCTCGGTCCAAAACTGGCTCGTGTGATTTTCGGTTTTAAATTCGCTCGACCAGAATCGTTCCGGCACGACGCCGCAAACGATCCAATCCACTTTCAAGGTGACCTTGGGGCTTAGAAAAAACTGGCCTGGATACAAGACGAAACAGAAAAAGACATACTACGCTAATTGGAGATATTACACATAAATAAATAAGTTGTATGTATTCGAACACTCGCTAGAGCTGGATTTACTAATGTGTGGCTACTCTGTACTCACTGGTTCCCCATAATTTTTAACTTCTGTTCGGAACTACTGTAAATACTCAAAACAGAAACATTTCTCGTATTTCTCCAAGCGTTCTGAACAAGCTGAACTGGAAATACGTCTCGGTTAATCAACAACGAGAAAAATCCCTAGATGAGTGAGTGACCGAGCTACCACCATTGCGAGAAAAATCAATAGACGATGGGTGACCGAACTAGATGAGTGAGCTTCCACCGAGCGAGTTCAGTCCATGCGTGGTTCCACTTATAATTTTTTGGTAAGAGGCATCAGCAATCTAATCTAGAATCTTTCCTCAAGACGTTTTACAATGACTGCTGAGTGCTAAGGCTGTTAATAAAAGTACTGTACTTGTACTGATGAACTAATGAACGAATTCTCCATTCAAACCGGCCGCGGATCACAAGAAACGCGGAGGCGAAGCCGAAGCTGTTTTTTGTACATACGTAGCACGAGAACAATGTAAACGCTTGTTCCTTCCTGCCTAAATGTTCCTTTATGCGGAATGTTGCCTAATGCGCAATCGTATTCACTCGGACGAGGCGACTGCTCAGGTTACAAGAGCATTCGCGTAAGGTTTTTGCAAGCCGCATTAACACGTTTTTCGTTTTACGAGCATAGCTCTCCCATGCAAGCTCTTAGAAACAATTAAACAAATTTATCCTTTACTAATTTTTGATTGTAATACAAATGCACACAATCTTGCCATAAAAATTCTTTTTGGTTGTGCAACAAAAACATCAACTTCTATAAATCAAGCAAAAAAATTTAAAAGTGCTTACAAAAACATTAGCAATGGTACCCTCGTACCAACTTACCAGTTAGAGCAATCAGGCAGGCGGCAACACAAAATCTGCAAGTAGGGTTATTATACCAGAATAGCGGAGGGGCGACCTACATGTATGTAGCAGGGCGAACTTTACCATACGATTGTTTAGGTAGCAACAAACTCGTTTTGCAGCAGTATGTGTAAGAAAACAGGACATTATTCGTCATTGGTCAGTTCATATTGAACGCTCAACAAATGTTTTAGCGAAGCTGCGGAAATCCTTTCTTCTGGATCAGCAAGGAAGCATTTACCAATGCATGACGCAAAATTTTTCTCAACGGTGTCGGGGATAAATGGGGTGTAGCCGTTCTCGTTAATCCACAAAAAATACTGTGCACTGTTCGTTTGTTCGCTGACTTCATGCTCCGTCTTTTCGTGCCTATGCCAAACTTTCCGCCGGCGTTCTTTAGCCGCACAAAGGCCGATGTCTAGCATCACGCATCCTAAACTCCAAATATCGGTTTTCTCTCCAGGGATTGTCGCCGATCGACCCACGGTTTTAGCAATCATCTCCGGCGACATATAAATTGGAGTACCTCGCGCGTTTGTAGTACCAAAATCCATTAAGATAAAATCGTCGAGGTCGCATATTATTAATGTGTTTTCCCCATTTATGGTTTTAATCAGAATATTACTCGGCTTCAGGTCTGCGTGCACCACTCTATGACCGTGCAGAAAGTCTACCCCTTCTGTCATCTCCAAACTGTATCGTACAGCTTCTCTCGGATTGAGCGGAACCTGGTTTTCTAGTAGTTTTTTTAGTAACGATCGCAGCGACCCATCTAGAAAGTAAAAGCTGATATATGGTTAGCAGCCTTTGGTAATCTGTATTCACTGATAGTTTCTTCATGACAGATGACCTTGCGGGTCACCCTGGATATTGTTTAGCGAAAGTGACCGACACATTGCATTAATTTGTATTCTGGGCAGTAATTTTTACTTCTGAGCGGCCCCAGCCTTTTTTTAGCGTTGATATTACAGTTCAGTACGTAATAACTATTGTAACCACAACTGTCCACAAGGCATAAAATCAGCTTGGGCATGCACTATCTACCGAGTAGTTACAGTATTACGATTAAAATCAAATCCCAAAATCTTTTAAATGCTTCATATGCACTCAATTTCATTGTAGTACACCGATTTCTTCGAATTTGGCACTGTACCGAACATAGACCCAAGAATAGCCCCATCTTCTCTTCAAAATTTAAAATGAATTTAAATGTAACATTTTAGGATTTCCTTTTTTTTAAATTTGAAATAATGCTATATTCTTTGCTTGGAGTTGAAACTGTCTTCATAGTTATGTGCGTTTGTTTCTCTAATTTTTTGAAGTTAATCGATCTATAATGAAGCTTGTGGTGCTCCGCGACACTAAGCGTTCTTAAAAATTAATATGTATGCAAAACAGCACAACAGATAGATACTGGCAACCTACCTCCGTGGTGATCCATCAATAGATGAACAGTTAAGCGTTCGCCTTTGATGATCTTAATCTGATGATAATTTACTAAATTGGAATGCTTCAGTTTCACCAAAGTTTCGTATTTTCTGCGCAGTTTGGTGAACCGTTGTGGTGTTGAAATGTCTTCTTCGTTGAAATTCACCAACTTAACCGCCGCCTTGAAATCGGTAAACTTCTTGCCACCTGTCAGCTTAACTTGATAGACCGCACCAAAAGCGCCCTGTGCAATCCAGCCGTTGGTAACATCAATAGTGTAATTAAACGCGCAGCCAGTAGGTTCGTTGAGAATCGTTGTTTCGTTTGGTATCTCCAGGTTTGCAATCTGTGAAGCAAGCCAAGTTAGCCAACCGTATCTCAATCACCATTATTAAGGTGCATCTCGAATTCTAAGCCAAGTTTATTGGTTGCTCAACCGTACGAGGTTACTGTACGCAATGGCCACGCCTAGAGGTACGTACCCACCGTAAGAGAGCATGCTGGACAACTATTTATTTAGCTGCGCGCTGTACCATTTGAGTTACACGAGAAAGGAGCTCGCAGGCGCTGATTCTCTGCTTTGCTTTCCTCCGTAAACATTCCCCAATGCATTGCTGGACATCATCCGGTATTCGGTCAGATATATGAGGAGCATAGCCTTTAAGTATCATCATGGCGTACTGGCGAGTGGAGAAATTATAATCTGTGGGCACTACATCACCGTCTTTGGATAGGGCTCTGTCGTGCTTGCCTGTAAAACAGTTAGCTAGTTCCACGAAAATACAACCCAAGGCCCAAATATCACTCTTTATTCCACTTCCAAGAGAGCCTTCTTTTTGAAGCACAACATGTTTCAGGAATTCTGGAGCTGAGTATTGGTGGTACATTTTGTCAACCAGAACGTCTTTCTGTTCTTCGCCCACGCACATCTGGGCAACATTTTCAAGACCGCCGATCAACAGTCTCTCTTCCGTTGCATTCACTTTTGCAATTAAAATAACCGCCGGTATAATTCTGCCATGCTTTAAGTTCTTGTCATGCAGAAAGTTGAGACCCGATGTTATTTCCGCCACGTACGACAAAACCGTTGTTAAGCTAAGGATAACCGAGTTTTTTCGAAGTTTCCTTATGCGAGTGGCGAGGTCCCCTCCTACGACGAATTTCACAAAGATTAGCGGCCCGATTATGCATTATTTGTGCATCTGTTATCAGTCACAATTCTCGTGATTCGTACCTGCACAGTACTCCATCATAAGCTCGATTCTGCCACCTTCTACGGATTGCATGCTTTTAATGTCAAAGTACGCCAATAAATTCTCATGGTTAAGCTGCTTTAGCAGTTTAAGTTTTTCCGTAAGTTGTATCATCTTGTCCGCGAACGTTCCTTTTGATAAGTAGAAAACTTTGATGGCAACAGTTTTTTCTCCCGCAAAAATATAATACGGATAATTTGTTAGATTGGCTCTGTAAACCGCTCCAGATAATCCGTTCCCGATAAAATCACTTGCATCGTATCGGCAGGTAAAGCCAAAAGTGGGCGAAACATAGCGCCCGGTGATTGCCTTCAGTATGTTCATTGTACCGTAATTCTGAAAGCAATTTGGTTGACGGCTGTATCGTTTATCAAGATAGAACAATAAGAACTCAAAACCTGCATCCAGTGATGGAGCAGATTGAATAAACCCCGTGATAAGCAGTTCTTCTCGGCTTGAGGTGCAATCTCCAATAATTATTATGCAAAACACGAGTAAGCAGCAAGCAGCACGAGTAAGCAGCACGAGTAAGCAGCACGAGTAAGCAAGCAGTTTGAAGCGTAAAGAACGTGTAAGGGGATAATAATGTTAAACGCTTATTTTCGATATCTGGGTACAGTACACACTATCTGTATAGCGATACGGCATGCATTTCACAGAATATTCTGAGTACAGGAACAGTAGTTCCGCAGAAATTCTTGATTAATCGTTCCCGGCAAAGAGTAATGTTTAGCCAAGTAGCGAGATAAGATTGGATGGATACAGTGACGAACCCAAGAATTTAAATTCACGAAAGGTAAAAAAGTGGTTATTTTCCATTTATTTGCAAAGGTGTTTAAGCAATACTACCACCTTTTTGTCGTGAAGCAACCACTGTTCCATCAATAACGGAGAGGACGTCCCCCGGTAAATTCGCAACGGTGTGGTAGTGTAATCGGCTGAACAGTCGATGAATAGAGCACCGCGTGTCCACACATATAAGAATTTAGCTTATAAAGAAACTAATTTTAGTTCCTTTGCATTAGAAAGCTCAATAATATCGCCTGCTTGATAACTGTCGCCGTAGGTTGTCTTTGTGTGGCTGCTGTGTTATGTGTTATCGTGTCAGGTTGCCTTAGCCCGATCATCTGAAGATAATATTCGATAAGCCGCTGTATTCAAGAGAATCGCATTAAACGCCAAGCCATTAGAAGCACAAGTGTGCCGTCGTATTCACGAGAAATCTTTCGGCTCGTTCCATTCATATCACAGCAGGGTTGTCTGCCTAATACTCGTAAAACTAAAATAAGTCCTTAATAAGCATAACACCTATGAAATAAGTGAGGTGGCAATTATGAAGTTTGAGCAACTGTTTTAATAATATCGCACCGTATCTGCAGATTCAGAGCAAGTTTTGGATCACTTCCGCTCATTACTTAAAGCGAAAGCACAAATGCATCCATGATAATACAAATAACTTGCGCGATGGCCGGTGCTCTTCGGTGGCACGAGACTCGCAAGCTGCGGTGAGGGCAATTCTGTGCGCAAGTTGATGGTAGTCCTGGGCTTCCCTTGAATACCATCGCGCTACCCATGGACTGTAGCATCTGTAATGCGCTGTCAGGTTGCTGCACATACATAAAAACATGTAAAGTCAATTAAACAAGTCAAATACAGCTCTTTGGTTGTTTTCGTATCTCAGTCACTTTGAGAACAAGGTTGCATACGTTTTCGTTAACTGTGCACTTCGGATCTATAGGTATTTCAAAAGAAAACGATGTTTTCACTTTTCCAAAATTATCTCTGTGACAGCTGGCGAACAAAGGCTCACGATAGTGAGAGAAGGCTTTATTGTGAATAGCAATAAAGTACAGAAAACCCAAACACAAAGGCTCGATGTGAGCTGTAACATGAAAATCACCGAATGTCAGCTAGTGAATGAAAATGAACGGCACATCGAGCCGAAAGCATGGGAAAAGCCTATGCGGCATACTGGGCAGATCCAACACGAGCGAACGAACGCTGATAGGCCGAGATGTGAAAGTGGGGCGTGGCTCCGCCTACATCGAGGCCGGTGATTGGCCGAGACGTAAGGCTGGGCGGAAAGCTGCCTGAGTCGAGGCCGATCTAGCGCTCGACAGCGAGTGCGACTCGGTGTGAGTCAGCACACCGGAAGCGGGACTGTCGCTGGCTGCCTGCTCGTAGGCTGCCATAGCGACTGGCCCAACATCTCTATCGTTAGTTTTAAAATAAATTGTGCTCATTAAATACGACTCATTAATTACACATATTGGAGATAACTTTACATTAGAAACAAAATTAAAATACGGATATGGACGCGTACACCATGAGCGATTGATTCAGGTAACGCGTTACACGTTACGCGATTCAGATAACGGGTAACGCAGTTGCTCGGAAGTTAAATTTAAAAAACTTAAAAGTGACCAAAGTACAAGAAAAATTTGATAAAGCGTAATAACAGTACACCAGACAATATTAGTTTTGCACATACCTGCAAATAAAGGTGGAATTAGTCAGATGAGGTAGTTTGCCAGCGCATCCGTTGAAAACAGTAGTGCTGTAGCAGCATGTGTATACCAGAACTCCGGAACCAGAGTTAGGCAGTGAACAAACACTGGTAACGTATCCATAATAATAATTCAGCGCAATAGCAAACTTCCGAGATTGGGCAAGCAGCGGATCGGTGGCCAAGGTAGAATTTAGACAGTCCGCAAAGTCTCTCGAAAAATTGTAAATGAAAAACAAATCAACTTATACATACCCTTGCCTTGATGAAATGTCACTATAACCGGCCAAAAAAGTTTTCTGTTACTGTATTTTTCTTTACTTTGCAGAATCTGTATCGGGAAAACTTCCCAGTTTCTTACTGGCAATATTTGCGTAAAACCTCTTCCGTATCGAGAACAGGTATTAATGGCGTGAAGCGGGATTTTGATATTCAGTCCCATATGACCTTTTCGCCAACGTCTTTGTTTCCAAAGACGAGTGCTTTATAATGAATCTAGAAAACAATCATATAAGCGGCTTTGCGGATATGTCAGAGTAGTGAGCAAACATTTTCTGCAAGGTTCAGTAGATATTACCACAAAAAGAGATATCACTACATTAAAAGCAGGTTTGCGGGAATGAGAGCGCCTGTCATTTTATTGCATTGGTAATCTAGATGCACGCAAACGACTTCGTTCAATCATCTGATGTATCGACTAGCGAGTTTGGTGTGTTACAATTTCGCTTTGTGTATTTGTTCGAGCAATTCTGTAAAGCTGTGTAACCGACCCATCAAGCGATAACTTGTAAACATAGTTTATACAAACGCCTGATTGTTAAATATTGATTGGAATTTCTGTGCACGTATAGCACGTGGACGGGTGCGCTTCCTTGCTGTACTCATTTTACTCTGTAGATCCAAAAAAAAACACAACGAAACGCCTAGGTATGTATACTAAACAATATTTTATCACCTTTAATTCCCATGTACTGCGCGTTTTGCACGCTAATATACGAGGTAAGGTTGCATCTCAATAGATCTGCGCGTTGTACTCTTTCCATTCCCAATAACTTTGCAGTATGACGGTAGTCCATAATGTGCCATCGTGTTAACCACAATGGACCATTGCAGTTACGTACACTATTAAGATATGAACTATGTACAAATAAGGAATCAGGAACTATCCGTCCGAATAACGGGTAAATTTGCACGGGATACTGTTCCGGACATGTGGTTGCGCTAAAATCTATTGTACACAGTGATGGAAGCCGTAGTACACTGGACTTCATAAATGTGGTTACACATAGCCACCCGTATGCATAGCGCTATCGGCTTTAAGTGTAACCACATTTATGAAGTCCATTGTATGATTATCCGTCAAATTGGGAAAGCAAGTTAGCAACAATTCCTTTACCACGTATTCATATGGATTTTGTAAAGTTTTTTTCAGTTTCAAAATATTATAATAAGGGAAAATTAGGAAAAAACACTCGCTTTTTTTCAATTTCGCTTTTTGCGGGCACTGTATGACCAGAGGCGTAGCAGGACTATACTACAGGAAAGGGTGATTGGTACCACTTGTTGATCCCGTTTTACTTCGGCAATCCAGAAAGCTGTCTATATATTTGATATATAAAGCTATACACATTTGCCCAAACGTACATCGCCCAGACGTCCAGGGTGTCGGGGAGTGCAGCGAAAATATGGGAAAACCGAAAGTTAGGAAAGTACAGCGGGCTGGCAGACCGTTACGTCGTTCAACCGCTGGCGTTCAAAACTACGGGTACATTCGGACCACTGACGAAGAAATTCTTTAAAGAGCTACAGTATCGAGAAAGATAATTGACAGTACAGGCAACCCCCGTTCAGGAGAGTTCTTACGCCAAAGAATTGGTATCGAAATTCAGCGAGGAAATACAGTTTCTGTCCTTGGAACATTTAGTGATATGGTAGAGAAGGAAGATGTGTACATTGCCTTTCATTTAGCTGAACGGAAATGATGTTACAGACTTGTTAACGGATACTCTTGTATTACAATTCCCAGTATGAATCGCTAATAAAGTTTATTATGAAGCTATACATATATTCGAGTTTATATAAAATGTGATATATATCAACAATTTTATGTATACGAGTTTTATGTATACGAGTACAACAATTTTATGTATTTTAATTATATCATTCAACATTACACGAGAAGCAATAATTACGATGTTTTTACCTATACTTTGCTAATTAATAGCAACAACCGGCACTTATGAACTACGTAGAATGATAGAACATGTCTCACCTGAGCGCATGTACATCGGTATTGAAACGCTGTACCAAGAATAACCAATAATATTATGGGTCGAGCAAATTCGGTACTGCGCGGAAGTTACAGTTGACTAATAACTTAGACAGCAGGAAGACAGGATCATTCGCTGAACATTGTAGATGGAACTGCATATTAACCAATTTGCCGCAAACTAAAACCAGCACTTAATACGTATGTAGGAAATTTCTCTCGTACCGCGAGGAAGGTGCGAAAACGGAACGTGCATGTGGAATGTTCGCAGCTGTCACAACACGTTGCACACGCCACTTGTCATAGCTTCGCAAAAAATACTGTTCCATCGGACTTGGAGTTACGAAAGCATCTACAAAGGCATTTTGCCAGTAAATGAAAATATCGGGATAATAATGCACACGGCAAAATGAAGGGATACACGGTAACGTCACCAAGCATACGTTACGCGGTAGAACGTTGTGCATGGAACCGTACTGACTTCAGCAATAAATACTACTTTACTCATTAGGCGCCTTTCTACTTTATACGGCGTCTTTCTACTTTATAAAAAGCTCGTTTAGCTTCTATTATTTACGAGCATTAATGCGAGCGCTAATGCCACTACATTTCACATCAACAAAACCATTTCGCGTACCCCGAAAAACAGGCTGCCGCGGAAGTTAGTGCTTGATGGCTACTTTAGTTTTTTTGCAACGTTTATTTTTCCAGAGACCTCCCAAATCAATTATGAATCAGGACCGTTAGATACTTATTCTCCATGCTAAAGCACGTCAATACCGAACAACTGCACTTAATAAACTAAAGTAAAGTAAAACTAACTCCCGAGAAAAGCAATGATTATGTCGAAAAATATTAAATAAAATATCTTGATGCTCCCGCCGGTACAATTAGGAAAAAGGATTGGGAACAACCTTGGAATTTGTTCAGTAAGCCCACTGTCTTCCAAAAAGGAACCTCGGTATCCAGAGTGTCGCACTGTTCGTAGAATATCATTCGCTTCGCGGATTTTCATCTCCCTACCCGGAGCGAACTTGTTCAGCTGACCGAAGAGCTTAGAGTAAATCTCCGCCGACTCCTTCAAATACCCGATCCCTTCTTCAAGAACTCCATCGAAGAATCTAGCCGTCGCTGCGGAGATCCCCCGTGGATCTTTCATGACATGTTCCGCCCACTTAATCGCAAAACACCCCGCAAAACTCAGAAATTGTGAGCGGCTAACATGGTAGTTGGGAAAGATTTGCCTGTACAACACCAGATAAATTAAGACCGGTACAGAAAAATGCCACGATGCGCCAAACCCACCGGATGCATAGCGTACAGTCCTGATACAGTGCCCATGCGTCTTCGAAGCGCTTCTGCTCCTCGTATACATCCGTCACGATCCAGCCACAGACGAAGCGCAGATGGGCACCCGGGTGTAAGATATCCAGCTTGTTCAGCTCTTCGATAATGGCAACCTTTTTATGCATAATAATTGCCGGAAGGATAGTGTCACCCGTTAGTTCGGCGTTGAGACTCAGCTGGAACACCTCCTCGTGCTTCTCCACGAAACCACGCAGCGCTCGTAGTCGTGGTTCGTTAATAGCGCCACACTGAGCGCAGGGCATCAGGGCGCGTTCGTCGCTCGGAATGCGCTCGTGGCAGCCTGTGGTAACGCACTTCAGCGGATTGATTTCCGCTTCCTGCCAACCGTCATAAATCTAATTATGTATCCCATTTAATGCACTGTAGGTATTATTTTTACTGCCATAATGTAACATGGCTGTTTTTACTGTCTTCCAATAGGATATATTACTTATCTCATTTCCTTACTAATAATTTCTTAATGATTTTTATTTCTCAATATGTACAAAGCGATTTTCTTAATTCACAATAAATACCGGTATTCTATAATATTGATAACCTACATAATCCGGTGTGCATTTGCGACAGCCGCACGCGCGTCCGTAGCTCTTTTGAAAATACTCGCGGCGTTGTTTAGCCGGCAGGGAAAACCAGCCAACAAACATGGGATTGCACCAACGCACCTGCCGAAAAAAACCGAAAATGTGGGACCTGAGATATCGACTATCGGTAGCAGAAGTTTTACATCGGCCAGTCCTTTGCAGCCGGAAATGTCGTCGAGAGCGACCACACGCAGCGTCTTCCCCGGAAAAACCTGCATGGCGTTGAAATTCATACAGACCGTCCCACTCCCGTGAGTCCTCCCAATCTCCAAGAATAATCCACTTCCGAAGATACATGGAGCCCCCCCTTTGCTGTTGAAGTCGGAGAGGGGCCACAAGTTCTGGATGACGCGCAGCTGGGTGTCAATGAAATCTGTCTCCGTGGGACGGTCGGCCGGGTTCGGATTCGCCACCGCCATCAGGTCTTTATAAATTTGCGTTTTTGTGAATCTGAAAAGAAATAGATAATGTACTAAATCGGACACTTGTTTTCTCGTCGGACCGAGTCAAACAACATGCCGCTTGAATTTTGGTTGAAGTTAACTCTCACCTTTAACGAGTCAATTAAAATACGTATTGTTCAAAAGTACTGTTTGGTCGGCTCAAATAACTACGATTTGTGATTACTTTGTGGCCATCGGCGCAGCACAAGTAAGACATGCAGTTGCAGCAAACCAGGCAGCCGACCAGGCCGAAGCCGATAAAGTGGGAAAATACAACTTCCTGTCAGGTCGGTATGAGTTTGCCGCCGTCGGATTCGAGACTTTCGGAAGTTTTGGTACATCAGCCAAAAAACTGCTTAAAGAGGTCGGAAAGAGGATCGAGCTACAAACAGGCGAGATTCGCAGCCACGAATTTCTGAGGCAGAATATTTCTTTAGCAATTCAAAGGGGTAATGCCGCTTCTGTTATGGGCACCGTAGAAAATGTTGTTTTGTTTAAGTGAAACTTACTCTTGATATTGTTATCGTGCTATTGAAATTAAAGACTACTGACCATGACGTTGCAGCAAAGCTACCCATGTGCCTTTGTCAATGAGTTTGTAAGCTACATCTCTTATTATCACTGGTCTAGCGACTATCTCTTTCTTTTAGAAGGCACATCAGATTGACTTCACCCTGGCAAATTAACTGCTTAAGGTAAGAAGCAAACTTGACTAACTCCGTGATTTCCTGAACCAAACGAGTCGGCCGACTGCCGTTCAGTGACAACAGGATTTCTTTGACTGATTTCTTGCCGTCTAGTCCTGGAACATGGTCCAGAACGGATTTCTACAAACCACCGTCTTTTTAATATTTTCTTAGTAATTTGAACCATTTGCATTAAAATTCTTCACAAATCTAATGCTGCGAATATTTCCACCAACCTGGATTTTCAGGTTTAGAATGGTGACCACGGAGAATGGTGGCCGCTCGCGAGCCACCTTTTGACGATAATCGGTGATGCGCTTCATCAGTGTGCATTCAAATTTGTGTTCCATTTCCCAATCGGCATTCTGCGAAATCCGCAAAACCAGTTAATGAAAATATTTTCTAAATCATCGTTCCCTTTCCCTACAGCAGCGAACGAACTCGCCATTTCATAAACTCAATAAATGGAATGGAAAAACCAGAAGACATTTGAAGTAAGCTCATCGCGCTAAAAATTTCCTAATCGTTAAATACCATCAAAACGTCAGCTGCGAAGCTTCACCGGGGATTTCTACTTGATTTCCTAACAACTCTTTGAATTTCGATGATCCCGTCATTTGAACGTACTTGGCATCTCGAGCTGCAGTAGCGATGGCTTTGACATCCCGGACAGAGCAGTGCCGGTTGCGAACTCTGGGATAACTGCTGGAAACAACCTGCACAATACATCTCGTAACCGTCAGAGTGGAAAGCCCACACCCAGGGATCCCGCTCCAGGATAATGTCGCCGGCAGCCACTGATCTGATCCCGCTCATGATGCGGCTCGATATGATGGGGTCGCTGAAGATTAGCGAAAATGAGCGCTGAGCACGGCAAATCCGCAAAGAGGACTTAATGAAGTTTTCACCAGAGAACTCCAGACTTCAGGCTGATATTCGATCGTGCCGCGTGATTGTAAGCTAAGTAACTGCATTGCGCGCAGACGTTTTAGATACGCTGAAAGTCAGCGCCGTCAAACTTGATATTCAACAGAGCCATGACTTTTGCGGCAGGTTCATTGAACCGTGACAGGTTCTTATATACGGTATACGACTAGAATCAGTCGTAGCATATATGAAACTGTAGTTTCGGTTTTTGGTCTTCGATATCCATGTGTAAACAAAAGTAATTTTTGGCGCCCGTAGAGTACGGAAGGGTCCGGCCGGTTGAAGGAAGCGGTGGGGCCTAACAGTCATGTGACATGAGTCATGTGACATGAGTCGAGTAACGATGCGTGAAACTTATAGATGGCGTTGTTAGCTCGGCATCTTTCTTAGTTTAGATTATGTGCTCCGACATTATGTAGGAGCACATTGGAATGTGCTCGTACATTATGTAGGAGCACATTGCATCGGTTTCATCGGTTCTTGGAGGAGAAAAACGGAACTGTAGTATCCAAACAAACGTAATCCAATATGCTCCTGCAATGTGCTCCTACATATATGTGCTCCTACATATGTAGGAGCACATTGCAATATCCTCCAACATATGTAGGAGGACATTGCAATATGCTTCTACATAATGTAGGAGTACATTGCAGGAGCATATTGTATGTGGAGATTATAAGGGATAGGAATACAAAGTGCTGAATAGAGAATTTAATAATATAGTAAATTATATTAAAGGTGATTATATTAAAAGATGATATGTTTGAAAGAAACTGATAATGAAGGGGTGAATGTTGTAATAGAGGGAAGGTTATGGGGGGTTTTACTGTAGTCTGACATAAGTGTATTCGACTTACTGGTTGTTCGTACTTCATAGTTTAATGAAGTGTAACAGGAAGCGGAGTGTGTTGTGTGTTATGAGTTGTAGTAAGGGTTGGTGATGGATTATTGTGGAAAATTAATGAAGGTTCGAGAAAGTTGATTGCTTAATGGAGACTCTGATGTTCTGATCTGATGGTTATGGATGTTTAGTAACAGAGGGTTTTTATATGGAAAGTAGGTTGCGGTGTACATTAAAAAGTTGTTCGAGAAAATGTTAGGGTGATTCGGTTTGTTGAATGGATTTTTCTAGTTCGGTGGGTATATAGGGAATTCCGGAATAAGAAAAGTTGCGTGTGAGCTATTATGGATTTGAAGAAGTATGCAGCGAAGAAGATTTTTCTCCTGTTGATTTTTTCGTAATGGTCGGTTTGGATTTTGGAACAGTGCTGATTCAGGCTGCCGTGTTTTGTTTGACTTTGGTACGTTTTTTTAGCTTCAGTATGGGTTAGTAAGTTTTCTTGCACAGAGATCTGCTTTAAATTTTAAGTATTATTATCCTTAATAAAATAATGGAAGGTGATTCTAATCGGAAGAAATACGCGCGAATACATGCGTGAATAAAGACAAAAACGTAAAATCAAACTGAGGGTAATTGTAGTAGGAAGATAATGAAGTAAGTAATGATGAGGTAAATAGGTTTATGAAGCGATAATTAGGGTATTTTGATTTGTAATGATGTGTTTTATGCGAACTGTAAAATTTGTGATTTGGAAAATTTAGATACCAGTGAGTCTGAAATCATCATGAAAATCGGTTTTATGGATAGTGCTGCTTTATTAGATACGAACAATGTCATACCGCCTAAGTGCACACAGGGTTATGAGCGTACTTTTCCAGACCCAGATTAAATTATAATGATAAATTCTGGTTCTGGAACTCAGAACCTGGACTAGAAGAAAGAGCTTATCTATGTTATGGTGGTTCACCAGGTGATCGGCTTTATAGTCTTTTACCTGAAAAATATTTTAAATTACGTCATAAAGTGCAGACAATAGGCTTCAAAAAGATAGCTCCTACGTTTTTCGAGCTCTGAACCTCTACCAACGGGATTAGTTAGAACGGAAAATCATGTTCTCAAAAAGGACAATTTCTGTATAAGAAAAGATTAGGTAACAAAAGTGTAGCTAATTATTTTTACCCAAAAATTTTGTACTATACTATTTTCCTGTTTATGTACGAGTACTACACTGTTCATGTAATATGCTCCTAATCATGTTATATTATATTCATGTTATATTATATTATTTTCAATAACAAAAGTTTCAATATCAAAGCCATCAAAATAAACCTCCCATTTTCATAAAGCCATTGCCGCCATTAGTGTTATCACTGCCACTAAACAGACTGACCTTTTCATCCTGGATAAAGAGCTTTATTTGAAATTAATTCAACAATGAAAATATAATTTTCATTTTATTTGGAAATCTGTATGTATAGCAAAAACTTGACTACTTTCAAGTTTCAGTCAATATTACAGAATTCTGTTAGAAATCGTGCTGTTAGAAGTCAAAATTATTAACCTCCTCGAGGCTGCATTTAGATTGAGTTGGGCTCAGTAGGGCGCATAGTTACAACATAGTAAATATAGATTCAAAGAATCTGATAAAGATTCGCTTCGAATTCGGGACAAGGCCTTACTTCTCCTATTGTATTGATAACTATATTAACACTGCATTTGCACGATACTCTTAAATTATTTATATTATTGTTTTTTTTTATGAACCTGCCGCTATACAATCGAGTGAAACGAGATTGGGCCACGTAGTGTATTGTTAACCGAGGCAAGCTTCCAGCACTACTAGAAAGTGCTGCTACCATGGAAACTGCGCTCAGTGGTGCTCGGCTGGCCGCTGCTGACTACACAACTCGCAAAAAATCTGCCGATTGCGGGAATCGAACCCGCAGCCTCTACGCTCTGTTGCTCTATCTGTAATTTTTCGATGTTAAAGGACAAAAATTTAATTAGCGTTGCCTCTAACGAAATGCAACTGAGGAGATGGTATAACAGAGTAGCTTCAAAGATTGAATTGAACTATTTCTACTGCGCATTAGGACTGTCCGGCACCTATAGTGCGGTGTCCGGGATTACCTAATTGCATAGCTATACAAGCGCATTGGCTTACTGTCTTAGCAGGCTGCCTGCAATGTCAGGTAAATTTTATGGAACAGGGAAAATACTTTCTTCGATGACAATACATACAGTACATTGTACATGGCACTTTCTTTACAACATGTCAAAGGTCCTCTTATTCGATATCATTACACTGTACAGGGCATAACAGTCTACATGGTACGTAATTTTGCTGGTCGCTGATAATTTCCTTTTTGTAGCACCATCGTATTTTGCAGTAAGAACTTGCTGGCTTTTGATAAACCTAATTTTAATTGTAAACTGACTTGAACTGTGAACACGATTTTTCAACCTGTTGCAAGCGGCCCACCGGGACTATAATTATATCTATGCCAGTTTTTTGTGCTTGTTTTTGGTCTCGTATTTCTAACATTGTAATACATCTATGGAATTCGCTGTTAATATTCGCCGCCGTTTGGTTTTTTATGTAATTTGTATGTTGGTTCTGGCCGAATCATGTAATGATATGCAGTTTGAAAGAATATGCAGTTTGAAACAATATGTGCTCACACAGCCTCACAATATAGATAGCCATGGTACAAGTACACCGTTGCTCTCGGTGTAGAAAGCCATATACAGTAATGTGTCTACCACACCATCTCATAATAATTATTATTATTATGACTCTGCGAAATGAAGTTGCACAGCGGTTTTGTTTAGATATGGTTTCAAGTTAATCAGCAACGTTTGAGAAGAAATCTCACTGTCGACGATATCTGTAATTACACTATGGTTAAACTCACGATCGTTTCGCTAGTCGTTAAATGTAAAGGAATGCGATCGCCACCAAAGCCCTTACTAGCAGCTTCTCCTACAATTAATTACATTACCAAAAATAATACTAAAAAACCAAATAAATCCAAATTTGGTTTTTTAGTATTATTTTTTAGTATTATTGAATTTGCACGTCTCAGCTGTTGTGAGTGGCACTTTGTTTTTGTTGAGCACTCTCCAGAAAAACTGGAAAGAAAGTGTTTCAATGTGAAGTTGATTCAATGCTGATCTACTTTCCTTGCTCCTAATCTGGATGGATACATTGCGCTAAATTTCCCAGCGCGTCGATAGGGAGTTTCTCCTGTTGACTGCGAGGGTGGCTTCGGAGAATCTAACCGTGGCACCGTACCACGGAAGGGGAAAGTGCCACGGAATGGGAAGCTGCTCGCGGCGGCCTGATTCTCCTGGGCATCTTGCCTTCCCGAGGACACATTAGGTTGGTCTTTCTCCATTTTTTTCAGTTTTTATGGCTCGTGATCAGCCTTGCCCGCACTGCAAAAAGTGTTTCACGCAGGGAGCTGGATTCGCCGCCCATCTGAAGGCATGTTCGCGCAGGCATACTACGGGTTCCTCCTCTGCTCAGCCTCCACTACCGCTGCCCGGAGGGACTCAAAAGCACCCTTTACGTTCCTTTTTAGATGGCGACCGATACCATATTCCGAAACGAGTGCCCAAAGCCGTCCGTCGCCAGTGTGCTCAAGTTCTGACTGACTTAATCAGGGAATGCGTGCGCAAGAACTCGTCGGCGAGCTGGACTGCACTGTTGTTGTTTGCTCCGACCGCTTTGTCGCTTCCACCTACAAAAACGCTCCGCAGAGAATCTCTTGCCTCCGTAATCAGGAAAAACCTGGCAGATATGTCCCTTGCAAAACGCCATGCAGTTCCCCGTAGCCAACAAGCCAAGAACGATACCTCTGCACCGGACAGACTACGTGCCTCAGTTAACTCGATGTTTCAGGATGGTAACGTAAAAGGAGCCATCAGGGTGCTGCTCGAAGACGACAAACTAGCTGAAATCAATGCTGAAACGGCAGAATTACTCCGGGATAAGCACCCACCAGCACCTGATGACTGCCATTTCCCACCAGAGCCTGATAATTACGTCTTGCCACCAACAGTCTCTCCCGCCGAGGTGATGAACGCTGTTTTCAGCTTCCCTACTGGATCAGCAGCAGGAGTTTTCGGCCTCCGCCCGCAGCATTTAAAGGATCTTCTGAATCGTAAGGATGATCAACAAAGTGATCTCTGTGTCGCCCTCACCGATCTGACAAATCTGGTACTCAAGACAGACATTCCTGAAGATATCCGGCCATTTTTTTTTGGTGCCAATTTAATCCCGCTGGGAAAAAAAGACGGAGGCGTGAGACCGATCGCTGTAGGGGAGACGTTACGCCGGCTGGTATCCAAGATCGCCAGCAATAGGTGCGCTGAAGAAGCAGCCGGAATGTTCTCCCTGTGCAACTTGGGTTCGGCGTAAGAGGAGGTGCTGAAGCGGCCGCCCATGCTGTCAGAAGTTATGTTGAAGGTACCCATGCAGACGCACGAGTTATTGTGAAACTGGATTTTAGAAACGCCTTTAACACTCTGCGCCGGGATGTGTTATTGACAGCAGTGCGTGATAAATTCCCTGCATACTTCCGTTATTTTTGGCAATCCTATCGCTGTGCCTCTTATCTCTCGTGCGGCAAGATCCAGTTGTCATCAGATACCGGCGTACAGCAAGGTGATCCGGCCGGCCCTTTCGGTTATTGTCTTGGAACGCTGCCTTTATTCGAAAATTTAAGCTGCGATATAGCAGTGGGTTTCTTGGATGATGTCACCTTAGCAGGATACGCAGAAAAAGTCATCGCAGCCATTCGTTTAATCATTGCACGTGGTTTTAGAATGGGACTAGAACTCAATCTGAATAAATGCGAAGTTTACGCCGTGGGTCAATTCACTGCTGATCGGTTGCATGCTGTTCAGATGGTGCTCGATGCCTTTCCCGAAATGGTGGTAACGAAAGAAGAAGAATTTGTACTCCTTGGTGCGCCATTGACAGCAAAAGCATGTGACGTTTTCCTGCGCAATAAATGTGAGCAACTGGAATTCTTCATATCCCGTCTTAAAATCATTCCAGCACATTACAGTCTATATCTCCTGAAAAACTGCTTGCTGATACCGAAGTTACTCTACGGGTTCCGCACAGGCAGATGTTATCAACATGTGGAATTGACCGAAACTATAGATAAGATCGTTCGTGGCGGTTTGCAATCCATTCTGAACATCCGCGTGAACGATGCACAGTGGAGCCAGATGACGCTTCCTATCAGGGACGGAGGAATGGGACTACGGAGTGCCAAGTCGCTAGTGTTTCCTGCCTTTTTTGGCATCGGCGTACTCGGTGATCTCTTTGGTTTCAACAATCTATCGCCCTGCAACGGAAGAATCGCTCGATCCGATTGTGCAGCGCTGGATGGAAGAGACAGGCTGTGAACCCCCCTGTTACAGAGCAAAGGAAATTCCAGTTTGCATGGGATCGGCCATGGATCGATAAAGAAGTGGTCTCAATGAGGCTGGCCATTACCGACCAAACGAATCGAGCGGTATTGTTAGCTGCGCAACACCGTGACTCGGGCGCATGGCTGAATGCGTTGCCTGCACCAAATTTGCGTACGTTTTTGCGGGATGAAGAAGTTCGAATCGGTGTGGCACTTCGTTTCGGACTTCCAGTAGTAGAAGAACACGATTGCGTAAACTGCGGAAGCCATGTGGAGACGAATGGTCACCACGGTCTTTCTTGTACCAGCAGCAGAGGCAGATGGTCCAGACATACGGAACTAAATGCCGAAATAAAGCGGGCTTTGGAACATGCGGGGTATCCATGTCAAAGCGAGCCACTCGGACTGTCAGGCATAAACAACACGCGGCCAGACGGCATGACTCTCGTCCCGGTACGGGATGGTAAGGCGCTGGTATGGGACGCTACATGCTGGGACACGGTAGCCGCATCGCATGTCCGGGCAAGTGCGAGTGCATCCGGTAGTGTTGCGCATATGGCCGAAGACGTTAAACGCCGTAAATACGCTTACGTGGAAAGGATGGGTTACCTGTTTTACGCCCTGGCAGTCGAAACTTTTGGCACTTTGGTTCTGATTTTATGGAGCTCATTCGTTTCGCTGGCAGAAAGATTCGCGACGTGACAGGGGAACCTCGTTCTACTGCGTTTTTGAAGCAGAGATTAAGTCTAGCTGTAGTGAAAGGAAATGCTGCTGCTGTTTTGGGCACCTTGAATATGCGTCCTAGGGTTTTTGATAGCAATAACGATTTTGGCTGTTTTTTTAACGTTTAAATTTGAATCATTTTAAGTAGTATTACGCGAATGCACTTTTTGTAACACTGATGGCCTTTGCCCAATAAACTCGAATAAATCCAAATAATACTAATTCCAGTTCTCTTTAAATACCAAAAATGTTTTCCAATAGCTTTAAAAGTCTCCCAAGTGGAGTTTGGCGGCTGTTGTTCGATAATCAATGCAGTTTCCAGTAACTGTTGCAAATCCAATCTACTGTAATTCCGTTAATTCAGTAAGAACGCCTTTTTTGCTTGTTCATTTAAATGAGCCAGTTATTAAAATGCTCTCATTTTTAATTTTTTACAATGGGTCTCGCATGCTAATTGTTCAATAGAACAGACTTTGTGCAATTTGTCTGATGCGGGAAGAAGTGCACACATCAAAAGCATAATATGCGGCGCCGTAGTTATCTTAACGGAATATACGGTGCATGGTACCGTCCAATAAATTCATAGAAAATCATTGGCCTATCCTTTCTCGCAAACAAGCATTGCATTTTAATGTTTGTTTAATTACCAAGATAAGATTAAAAGCTTTTGCATACAAACTCGACATACGGCAAAGTGTGCCGCAGCTATTTAATATTTACCATGCTCTAAGAGGCGGTTTTGGCACGAAATGCAGAACCGCTTCTGGAAAACTGCTGGAGCTGAAAAGAAGCTCTAGTTCTGACTCAAGGCGTTTGCCTTTTATAATTACGTGAATAGCAGGATTGACAAAAGTCACAAAACTATAGGGCGAGATGATTGGTCGTCAAACTGCTTTCAAGTGCGGACACCCTAGTTTCACTGAATGCCTGAAAGCATTATTCCGTACAAACCTACAAAAAAACGTTAGAGTGTTAGACGTTCCGATGTATAAATTACTGCGGATGTGTCAGTTCAAAGACATATTTTCGAGATAGCTGTTAAGCTGTTAATTATATATGGCGGCCGAGGCGATCGATAATTTCATCAGTGCCTTCACCTTATCGGATACTCCCGGGATGGACACAGCCGTAGGAAAGTAACTTCGCTTAAGCCAAAGTTACTGCCGTTATGGCGCCCGACGCTATGGTGACCCGTTTTCAGTGGCCCACAAAAAGCAGGTTATCATGGCGCCAGGAAAGAAACTGAAGCGCACCGGGCACACCACCTCGGTGGTAAATGGTAATCAAATGCTTTACTTGAAGTTCGTCACATGGTGCCTGCATTTCACTTGTGTCTGCCTGTTCCGGGGGGATTGAATTTTTGCTGCAACAGCTTTGTGGAACGCGCTCTTTTGCGCTGACTGGAGATGCCTTGCGATCTGGCAACCGATGCGTTTTTCGTCGAGCTGCAAAACTTTACATGCGTAGGTATGTAAAGTTCTAAAACGCGACGGAAAACCGCGATGTACCGGGTAAAGCAAATCGTCCGAGTGTCCGAGTGCCCGAGTGTCAGCAAATCGTCTGAGTGTCAAGATTTTCTCACAAAACGAAAGTTACAAAAATGATAACATTTCATAAAAAACTTCATGTTTATGAATTTCGATGCATAAATATCAAGAAAATTCCAACAAATAACAAACTCCGCCAGTGATTTTTGTCACTCTAAAATCGATGACATTCAGTATAGTTCTTAATTGTTACTCCGTTAACTTATAAAAACGTTAGCAGAAATCAACTGCAAACCCAGTTTTATATACTGCCATGCGCTGTCGCCGCGGCTTATCTTTGAGTGATTGTTCTGTTGTGTGACTTGTGTCTTATGGTCCCAAGTCGCCTTACCCACATTGAGATAACACTTGGCAAACTTTAGCTGCAAAACCACAGAACAGATATCCAAAATAGTGCAAGCACTGTGTCAATATGTAACCTTAATTTAAATTTAAAAAATATTGAAGTAACTTTCAAGTAGTTTCGGTAAAATGTCGATCAGTGCACCTTCCAGCTACCGTTGCTGCTAACCCTAAAGTTCTTGATGCGAGTTCTGTGCACTGCTTTAACTTCCTACTCAAGTCTTTGGATCTGCCCAACCGTATTTTATCAGTTAGTGACCCTCCCCACTTTAGAAGCCCACCCCGAAATAAAGACCCCACTGAGAGGTGGTTTTTACAGTGCTCCCCCCTTTGGAAGAAAAGAAGTTTTCCCCGAACTAAGCGCCCCATCCGGAAATTTTACGAAAAAACTGTAACGATGGGACACTATTTTATAAAATACGGTATATTATTCACCAAGTAGGATCTAAAATTGTTTTTGTTTTCGAAGACGAAAGCAGCCTAAGCAGTGCTCACTGTACACAGCGTAATCATGTTTAGCACCGCTGTTGTTAACTTTAACGCAGTATACTGTGAAATTTCATCTTCCCAGAAACTGACGGTAATCATCGCCGGATCGTTCCCCGCAAACGAGCATCGTATTTCACTATTTGTTCAGGTAATGAACTGCGATACGATTAAAATTAAAGGTTTTACGAGTACATAAGCCAATATTGCGTAAAAAGTTTGTAGTAGTATGTACACAGCGTAATCGCAATAAGCGGCGCCGCTCCTAATCTTAATGCCACTACACGGTGCATTTCCTCGTTCAGCAAGTTATAAGATCGGTTTGCTTTTTCCCGTAAGCGAGCATTGTATTTCACTACAGTATTTGTTCAAATACTACGATGAGATAAAAAGGTTAAGCACATAAAACCGTATATAAGAAAGAGCGTGCCGCAGCTTTAACTATGGTAGAGCAGCAGTTTGAAAGGCTGTTACAGCAGATGTTAACACTGTCATTCTTTTTACTGCAGTATTTTTGAGTAGAAGTCGCAAGCCAGTATTCGCTCCGTTGCAGCACATAATTACTCGTATATTAGCCACCAGGTGCATAAACAATACGCTCAAACTCCACTCTGCGTAGGACAGGAGTGTTTTTAAAATACTACATAGTTGTTTCCCAATGCCTGTTAACTCTGCCGAAATGAGCTAAAACCACAGATACCGCAGGTATATTTCTAGATACAAGTACATTTTGAGTCCGAACTATTGGTTAGGCCATACAGAAAATCGCACAAAACTGCAGTTCTTCACTCTTAAAAATGGATTTACAGCGAAAGAAACCAGATTGGTACCGGGTTGGTGCAGT